GCAGGTGTCAAAAATCAGAATTCCATGGGATCTGGAAGGACCTGGGGTTACATTTTTAACCCGGAATCTCTSCCACTCCGAGGTTTTGGATGACACCAAACCACGATCAGGTCTCAGAATATCCCAGCAATTTTTAATTTTGTGTGCACAGCCAGAACCAGAGCTGCTCCTGGTGCATTCCCGTGGTGGATCCCAGCTCTGGTGGACTCAGCCTGGATTCCCGTTCACCTTTGAAGTGGTTTAGGTTGGTTTTGGAGACATCAAAAATGTAAATATTATTTTTTCCCCCCCCTCTCTGATGGCTGAAGTGGTGATTTTTGATTTTCCTGGTGGTTCCTCGAAACTGGAGCGTGGATTTTGGGTTAAATTCATGGAAATCACGGGCAGGGATACAAATTGGGGGGGTTTTGGATAAAAGGTGGGAGCTCCTTCCTTCCAAGGTGGCATTTCCAACTGAAAACTGGATTTTGTCACACCTCAATTACAATTATTTCATTTGTTGCCTTCCCYACCCCTCTTCTGCCAACAAAAAGTAACATTTGTGTCGGGATTAAGAGGTCACAGAAGATGAAAATTGAATTCATCCCTTTCCTGCAGATTTTCTGTCTCATTTTAGGCGAGCTGTGTAGTTTTGGATAGAAATTAATCAAATGGCAGTGATCTTTTGATTTTTTTAAAACATTTTCTTTGCGCTTCTTGAAGATTTAAGCTCGTTAGAGGAGGTTATTTCATGTGTTCGTTACTCTCAATGYTTTGCTGAATTTACTGAAGCTGTGATTTAATTGAAGCCTCTGTGGTAGAGGGGGAATTGSAGTGGCTTTTTTGGTTGAATAATTCCCTTTTTTGGACATTTTTTTACTTTTTTTTYTTTTGCCCTTTTCTAACAGAGASAATCAGAAGACATTTCCAYGTAATTCGAGTGAAACCTCTTAAAACAGTCACAAGGAATTTCCATTTGTCACTCAAACATCTTAATTCAATTACAAAACCGCGGAGTCACCAGGGTGGGACAGGATTTTTCATTTCCTACGAGGGAAATTCCTGGGAATTTCACCCCACAAATCTGGGYCGTTTGTGGCTTCTGCTCTCTCTGGTCCCACAGATCGAGGTCTTCCARCTCAGGTTCTCTCAGAATCCGAGATTTGGGGCCAATTCCTTCTGTTTTGAACCCAAACTCTTCCTGATCTCGCTGGGAAGAGTCTGATGGGTGCGATTGC